CTACGTTGCCTGTTTGGGCGTTTGGAAGGCTCCTGCGATTGGACGACGACCAAAGGCGATGATAAATGGTTACAAGTTGATGGCGATTCACCTTTCTAAATGTTTCTCCAACTAAAATCAATCTTACCCCCCGACAGATGAAAGATCGTTTCAAGTTATACAAGGACAAGTATAAGAAAGCTCATACGAAATCTATGTCAACTGGCTTTGGTCTGACCCCAGCTGATCGGAAGGCTGGAATCACAACGATCGAGGACAAACTTGAAAATATGTGTCCTCTCTACGCTGAAATGGACAAAATATTTGGTAACCGGCCTGACGTCAATCCGTTGTTTATGGCGGATGCAGAGGATGAAGACGATTCATCTGAATCATCTTCTGAGGACAACAATTCCGATTCCTCAAATGAGATGGATGAGAAAGATTCATCTCATAGTTCTGAGTCCACTGCTATTCACCCTTTGTTGAAGAATGCTACTTCACAAGTCAATATCGTGGCCCTGGAGCAAGAAAACACAGGTGATGTAAGTCAATTGGATTCATTTGTTGTCAGTCATTGGTTCACTGATTTTGAAAGATATTGTTGGAGTTTTTGTCTCTTTTCTCCTTTGTTTTCTCTGCTTCTTACCTGTTTCAGACCTGTCACCTACCTGTTACAGGATTCAGACTATACCTGGGCCAGAGTACGTGGAAGGATTCCTCTCCTCATCCTTCCAAAAAACCATTCTCTGACCCAGGTATGCACTTCTCTCTTTTTCTCTCTTTTCTTTCTTTTCCTTTTTCATCTTTCTCTGTGTTTTGTTTCTCTCTGCTAATGAAATACATTCTGATCCTTCCACAAAACCATTCTCTGACCCAGTTGAGTCCAACAGGTTATGAGCGCCAGCGCAATACTACTGCGATAATACTTAAAGGTTGTCTTAAGGATCCGTAGGCTTTTCGTTAAAGCCATTCTTTTATGAATTCACCACCATCACCGTTTCTAAAAACTGAATATTTAGTATCGACGTCGCCAAAGGACGACCCCAATTCTCTCTCTTCCACATTGAAGCCGCCTCCGCTAAAAATCTCTTCACCTCTTTTCCATTCATCGCCGACCGATTTGAAACCAACTATGTCTTCTACTACTCAAGACTCCGATGTGGCAAGCCACCCTACGCTCAAGATTACGGGCGTTGAACAGCTGAAGCCACCGGGGTCGGAGTCCAACTATTTGGACTGGAGTTGGATACTCGACATCCATTTCACTGCGACTGATGTGGACTACGTCATCCACGACAAGCCCGAGGACGCGAAAGCAAAACCCAATTGGGCTCGCGATAACAAGGCGGTGTGCGGTGTCATTTCTCGAACAATCCACCCGACGAACATCAGGAACGTTCGTCATCTTAAAAACGACGCACGCGGACTTTGGGATGCTCTCAAGCGGGCGCATCAGGATTCTTCAGCGGGAGGGGTCACTTACTGGCTCCGAAAACTTACATCGTCCCGTATGATCAACAACGATCTCTCCGCGCACCTTGAGGACATGGCTAAGACATTCGAGCGTCTTAGTTCTTTGGTGACGTCCGAAGCTCCGCTGACCCCAAACGACATTTATTCCTCGTCAATCCTCACCTCGCTTCCCACCGACTGGTTGGCTTGCGTATCTTCAATGATGAATGAGCCTCGTGTGGACCCCGACCGTGTCATCGACGCCCTTAAGGCAGAGGAGCTTCGTCGCAAGACCCGCTTGTCCGATCAACCCATCGTCGAATCTGTCTCTCAGGCATCTAATAAAAAACCATCTAAATCCAAGTCGGCCAAGCAAGATCAGCCGACTCGTCATTGCACCTTCTGCAATCTCGACGGCCATGATCTAAACCGATGTTTTAATGTGGCCCGCCTCATCAAAAACCACAAATCGAACCAGGCCCCACCCAAGAACAAGAAGGACGGTACCAACCGTCTCCCCCCCTCTTCTAACGCCTCCACCTACCCAGCAAAAGCAGGCCGTACGTCTGCAGCTCTCCTCGGCAGCTCCAATCACGAATCCGATGGCGAATTGGACTTCTCTGGCTCGGAGCTTGAGATCACCGCTGGGCAGGCGGCCGTCTCTCTTTCCTCCTCCTCGCTCCCGACCATCCCGTCTGGCGATGCAAATCTTGACTCGGGTTGTTCAATCTTGATGACTCCCGACCTTAATGCGGTTTCCTCAGCCAAACCCAACAACACTCCTGTCAGCCTCTATGCTACTAACCTGTAAGGGTTGTGCTCTGAGTGTTAACAAGAAGAGTAATGGAGAAGGTTTATTCGTGGTTAAATCCCTCAACCTGTAAAAGAAACAGGGAGGAGTCAGTGAGGAATGGTACTTCTACTGCTGACTCATCCAATTATTCAATTGGGCATCCAGATCAATCCTGTTACGTGGATTAATAGGCTTCCAATGTGAGGAATTCTTCTACTCACTTGGGATTAAGTCTTTTAACAACAATCCAGATGAATAAGTGTATGTACACTTAAGGACCAGAATTGTTTAACCAGGGGGATAATTCTTTATGCAATAGAGATAAGTAGAAATGCCTTGAATCTGAGCAAAGTAAATCTATTTAGGTCTAAGGTAGCTGGTTTGTAAGGTTATTGGTGGTTTGAATCACTAATAAACACGGTACAAGTGTTGGTTTGATGCTACTAGAATTTCCTGGGGGGAAAAGGTAGGAATCTGAGCTCCTTAAATATTCTACAGGGGGCTCAGGGGAAGAGGAGAGGCCCTCAGGGCACTGGGGAGCTTCTTAGCAGCTCTACAGTTTCGTGTAAGGATGGGAGCTGTAGCTGTGCAGTGCTATGCATGGGTGGAAGGTCCTAGGACATGAGATCATACATGCATAATTGAGTTTTGTGGCCTATTTCTCACGTAATTTAAAGGGCTACATTTACTGTGCAGGGGCTGTGCAATTGTAGAGTTGTTTGCATACGTGTAACTCTGCTTATGCAAGCTTGTGATCATGAGAAATGCATGTCCTTCATGCATAATTCAGTCTTGCATGTAGAATTTGGGCTCCTTTCCCGTGTAGGCTGCTTTGAATTATGCAAGCTTTGAATTAGAGCACAAAAGGGTCCTGATGACGCCATCCAAGAGGGTTATGATGCAATCTGATGCCCTGATGATGTGATCAAGGATGGGTAAGCTTCAGATAAATGTATATAGCTTATTCCTCATCCATTTCACGCTTCTACTAGCTGATTCTTTATACATATGTAATTATTTATGGCTTATAAAATATGTACATAATGTATAAGAATAAACATTTTTTTAATACTTTATTCTAATGATATTTCTGTGAAATCCTAGTGATATTATATGTACAATACTCACAGGGGATTTCACAGTCACTTATAGAATTATTAAATATAAATTATGATTAAGATTAAATGTAAATACATATTTATTTATTTATTATTCTAACAACAATGTATACTATTTTCCAGTATTCAATTAATTATTATTATTGCAGTTACTAGGTACATTTCACGTACTGTGAAATGTGCTCTGTGGCTGACACTTCCTCCCCCTAAAAAAGGAAATGATCCTCAAATCATTTTCTCTTGTCTACTCTGTATTGTCTGAGGAGTTTATCTGAGTCAGGTATCTTGTCTACAGGAAGCCATTCATCTTCTTTACTACCACTATATCTAACCAGATATTCTTTAATGTCAGTATTATGTTGTCTAATTTTCCTATGTTGTAAAATTTTCTTAATTTTCACTATTTCTTCTTCTAATGGAGGAATTACTACTCTCACATTATCTTTCCTTAAAGGAAATTTCTCATTGTCATTTATTACATAAGGTTTAATTAAACTAACAGGAAAAGTAGGGTGTTTCTTATCAAATTCTCCTGTGAGAATAACTTCTACAGCATTTTTCCCGTGTAATTGTTTAATTGTAAAAGGTCCTACGTAAGAATCACGTAATTTCTTTGGTCCAGATAAGTTGGTAAAATTTAGTGTGGATACTAACACTTGGTCACTGTTGTGGTTGAGAATGCCTGGTGTTCATTGCTTCACTCCGCTCCCCCTCTTGTACTTTCCATACTCCAAATATGGAGTTTGTTCACCCATACAACACCCCCCCTCAAACTCCACACCAGTGCCTACAACCATGAGAATGATAGAGAGATTAAGAAAGAGAACAATTGTCAAAAAAGAAATGAGAATCAGACGGAAAAAGAATAAAAATTAGAGATAAAGTCAAAAACAAGAAAAATAAAAAAATGAAAATGAAAAAAATAGAAAAAAAAACTAGAGAATTGATTAAAAGAAGAAAGAAATAAAAGAAAAAAATAAAGGACATAGGAGATGATTTTAGGCCGCAAACGTTATGAGATAGAGAAAAATACAGAAATTGAGGCTCTTTTTTTTTTTTTTTTTTTTTTTTTTATTTTGGGAATATTTTATTTAGAGAAATTGAATGGAGATTAGCACGGAGAGATTTTGTGAAGAAATCAGCAATGTTGGAAGATGTGGAAACCCAATCAAGTTTGATGTTATGTTCACGGACTGCATCATTCACGAAAAAGAAATTGTGTTCGAGACTCTTCATGCGACCTTTTGAAGCGTTGTCGTCCGACACCAACACAGCTGCCCTATTGTCACATTTGAGGAGAAGAGGGGGATTCAGGTCGAGAGACTTGATGATGGGTATGAGGAACAACAAAAAATCGACTGAGGAACCGAGTGAAATAAATTCTGCCGCGCATGTTGACGTCGCAACCACCTTCTGACGCCTCGATCCCCATGCAATCGGACTACCTAGGAAGGTGATTATGAAACCCGATGTTGAACGTTGGAATTCGCCGCCCCAGTTAGCATCCGACCAAGTGACTAGGGAATCCGCTGTAACTTCCAGTTTCAATCGTTTGTCTTTGCTTGTTGCAAGATATTGAATGAGGTGGGATAGGGCCGCCCAGTGAGTTTCGTTGGGATTCGAGCTGAAACGAGCCAGGTAATTAACTGCATAACTCAGATCGGGTCTTGTGCCCAGAGCCAAGTAATTTAGAGAGCCGATGAATGATTGATATAGAGTCGGTGATACCGGGTCTCCCCAATTTGTTACCAGGTTATCGCCCAGCAGAGGAGTGTAGGTTGGAATGATGGTGTCCTGAACTTGTTCACGAAATTTCTTGATGGTTTGGTCGATAAGCAGGTGTTGACTGAGATAGATGGCATCATCGGAATAGTCTAGTTTGAGTCCCACTAGTTTCTCCGGCTTTGCGTCCCACTTCACGCGTAAGCTAGATTCGAGGTTGGCCCGTAGATGTTCCAAAGCAGTCGCGTCGTTGCTGAAAACAATGCCGTCATCGACATGAATCCAGATGATGATGATTGACGAGCCTTTCCGATATCGATACAAGCATTCTTCAACTTCGTCACAGTCGAAATCCCAACTGTGGAGGAGAGTCTTGAAATGCTTCCACCAGCATCGGCTGGCCTGCCGAGTACCATATAGGGCTTTTTTGAGTTTGAGGACTTTACCGGCGAGATGAGGGAATAGTTCGACTGGAGGATCCACATAAATGGTTTCATCGATTGGACTGTGGACAAATGCTCCCGTGATGTCGAAAGAGTTGATGATCCAATCGTTCTTGATTGATAGCGTGAGGAGCATGCGGAGTGTCGTAAGAGAAGCCGTAGGGGCAAATGTCGAGCGAACGTCAATGCCGAGGCGTTGTTTGAACCCTCGGACCACAAACCTTGGCTTGAGTTTTTCAATTGAACCGTCTGCTTTTCTCTTGATATCAAATACAAATCGGGTGCCGATTGAGTGTTTGGAGTCCTTGTCTTCAACGGCGAAAGTGTCGATCTGTTCCAATTGTTTCCATTCGTCCATGCAAGCCAATTTCCATCTTGCTGCATTTGGAGAAAGAAGGGCATTTCGGAGGGAAGTAGGTATGTCGGCATCTGAGATGGCTTGTATGTTGTCGATTTGAATGTCTTGCGCTTCACAAATTTCTTTGGTTGGTTCTTGTCCAAGGTGGAGGATTCTACAAATGCAAGGTGAGTCAGAAAATTTTTCGGGTGTGGGGATGATAGGTTTGTTTTGGAAATCGAGGAAGTCAGCACACTCAGAGTTGATGATCTTCTTGGTTTCAGGATTCCAGAAGAACCATCCACGCTCGTCATCCTGGTAATCGACGAGGTAGCCTGTCCAGCCACGTTGATCGAGTTTGCGTCGGCGTTCTTTGGGAACATGTACTGTGGCCCGGGCCCCAAATGGGTAGAAGGAAGTAAAATTAGGCGAGCGATTGGACCATAGTTCTAGGGGTGTCGATTTGCATCTGGTATTCGATAGCCGATTGGTGAGAAAGCATGCGCACTTGTATGCGTATGACCATAATGAAGAAGGTAGATGAGAGTGGGCGAGTGTTGTCCGGGCAATGTCGCCTAGAGTCCTATTGAGCCGTTCAGCCTCGCCGTTCTGCTCTGGAGTATAAGGAGAGGTGAAAATGATTTGACAGCCGATTGAAGCCAGGTAGTCGTGTAAAGGCTTTACTGTGTACTCTTTGGCGTTATCGCATCGAACGAACTTAGGAGAAGATCGGAAATGGGAAGAGATGCGCTTGATGAGGGAAATGAGAATGCCGGGAACTTCCGATCGAGATTTCATGGGGAAAACAAACGAGTATGTCGTGGCGTGGTCGCGGATAGTGAGGAGGAATCGATGTCCCTTCACGTCGGGGTCCAAGGGACCAAGCACGTCCGTAACCAGGAGGTCAAGTCGATTTTCCTTTGGTATAACTTCAGGGAGTGTGTGTCGGCGTCGTTCACTTTTGGAGATTTTACAAGATTCGCAGATGAAGGGTGTCCATCGTTTGATGTCGAAGTCCGGAACAAAGCGTTTTAAGAAATCCTTTACTACTGCGTCGGATACATGCCCAAGACGGCAGTGCCAGTCATATGAAGGAGAAGTCATGGGTTGAGAATTGGTATTCGAAATCGATTTGATAGACGGAACGTTACGGTGCCAGGAGGAAGGAAAAATGAGCCAAGAACGGTTGATGTATTTTGCAACGAGAGAAATGAAAGAAGAAGTCAGGAGAATGTCGTTGTTTGGCAAAAAAGACGGTTTGAATCCAGAGTCGATCAGTTGGCCAAGACTAAGGAGCGTTCCCGTCATTTCCGGGCTGTGCAGTACTCGAGGAATCATTAGGGAACCATCCCCATTGATTATCTTCAGGTGACCACTGTGTGTTGCCATCATGGATCC